CTTCACTCACATTGCTTCGTCTTCTCGGATAGGACGTAAAGCCAGAGGTCCCGTCTCCTGCACCTATCAATTAGTTAATTTCGGCGGGGGACGTTAAAGAATCCACATCACGAGATTACTCTGATGTGGTCTGGCCTGTTTACTGGGAATGGGGGGAGGGAGCAGCTGTAAAATTTCTCCTTTATTAATTATAAACTGCCGCCGGCAGTCTGGAAAAGTCCCCCGCACCGTGTTGTAAAGCGCATTAGAGCATTTTACATGGAAATGCGCTATAGAAATCGATCTATATTATTATTATATATCATTATTATTATTATTATTATAAAAGAAGAGCCTGAGAAGATCATCAAATCTTAGACTTGCGCCTGGCCTGAAAATTGGCCATGGTCATTGGAACTGTTAATTAAGATTGAAATGTGCAAATTCAACCGGTGTTTTCCTGGGTTAAAAATTCTATCAAAGCTGCCTTTTTGATAATTTATGTAAGCTGGATAATTCACTTCTTCTACAACGGGAATGGGAGTCTGAAATGTCTTTTAGAAACACACCGGCGATATCATTCAAAATGCAGTTCATTAGAAATCACAAAACCAAAAAAATGTGGAAGTAAAGTTGTATTAAAGGAAACAAACTGCTGCCACCAACTTGTTTTGCACTGATCTGATATTGATCACCAATCGAGTTTGAGTTCTTCATGAGGCGCGGGGAAAACTCTATGGCTTGTCAGTCAGTGCTAATCTCAAAGCACATATGCATGTGTGCCTATATTAAGGGCTTAACCTAAAAGACATATATATTGTAAAGAAAATCTAGCAACGCATAAATCAATGATTTACAATGAGCATCATTAATAGCATTAGTTGAGGTGCGTCAAGGTCAACAAAGGTTTCCAAAAAACGTTCACTCTAAACGGAGTCAGCGATTTCATTAACATAACTTAAAATGTATTGATCCTTTACCGTAAAAGCCAATTCCCAATCAGGCTACAGCGGTGCAATATAACCATACAAAAACAATCACATGTCCTTTGCAAAAGTAAGCAGGTGTACCATGGTAATAGAAACTTAATGGATATACGAAACGGCTCATGAAAACCACAAGAAATTACTACATTGAATTCCCACATTTAACGCCAGTTGTCGTCTGTCACTAAACATAAAGGTCCTCGGTCTCATCGTCTGCTGCTTTGGTAAGGATGAGTGCCATCCATAATCAAGGCAATGAAGACTTCAAATCCCAAGTATTCATCATCAACGGAGCCATACTACTTTTATTCGCGGTGTTAATATCCATCTCCAATGGTCTCCTACTGTTCCTGATCTACAAAGACCCGCTGAAAAAATTTCGCAACGCCACCGCTGTTCTTGTGGTGTCTTTAGGCATAGCAGACTTTCTAACGGGATGTGTAACCGCTTTGGACGTTGGAATAGTACACATTCTGGGAGGAATGGCGATGCAAAAAGATATAATTATGCTTCAGGCTAAGATCGTCTCTCAGATAACCGTGCGCGCAAGTCTTTGTATCATGATTATGTTCGCGGTTGAGCGGTTCATAGCTGTCGCCTTCCCTTATGTTTATCGTAAATCCGTGACCATCCCAAAAACCATCGTCTTTTGTGCGTTGTGTTGGATGTTAGCCATTGTTACAAGCTGTCTGGAGCTGCTGGTGGAGCGAGATTTGTACGATGTCGTGTTCCTTTACCTCATTTTTGTCCTACCGCTCTTAACTATTGTTTCCACATACTCAGCAGCTTATTGCGCGCTGCTACATCGACATGGAAGACTTTACAAAAAGGAGAAAATATCCAGGCGATCGGCTGAGATGCAGAAACAACTGATGACAACTTCCTGTCTGATTATTCTTGTCTTTTTTGCTTCTCTCGTTCCGTTTTGGGTGTTCACCACCATCCGGCGTTATTGCAAAGAGTGCGTTCAACAAAAATGGTCCATTGCAGGTTACCGATTTTCCATTCCGATTCTGTACATGAACTCAGCCCTGAACCCGTTGTTGTACGCTTGGAGAATGCGGCCATACCGTCAAAGCTTTCAAGCCTTATTTCTAAAAAGCAGAAGAGTGGGGGATAGACGAGTCAAGACGAACACGTCAAGACGAACAACTCAAGACGAACTCCCTCAAAATGAAGGCAATGAAACTTCTGTAATTGTCAATGAATTTTGCGAAGAGACTAATTTATAAATGACAATCGACAGATGAAATTTACCAGTTTTAATTTAAAGTTTATAATGATTATGCGAACAGCTGCATGATCTTCTTTACTTCGAAAAACATTTTTTTAAGCGCAAGTATAGGCAGGTTTTTAAACAAGACGATTGTTCCCACCTATTTAACGAAGAAGATAATGTGTAAAATACTGTGCAGAAAAATGACAGAGAAAGCAAGTAACTGAAAAAACAACGACTTGTCACTTTAAACTGTAGTCCTATTGAATCAAGAAAATTCTGCGGAAATGACTAAGAAAAGAAATTTTTGTAAGCGATGACGTGTTAATGAGTTAGATTCAGTTCTGTTTTTTTTTTTTTTCAAATGTAAAACAGGCCTTCAATTGCATTAAATATGAGATAAAATTTGGCAGCTGTGTAGTTTCAGAACGGATGATGTACTCAGAACCTCGTTTTAACTCTTCACTGGAAGATTCGTGAGAAAAATTAATGAAAAAGCAACTTCTTCCGTGTGACTTGGTGACTCTAGTTTTTGATTCAGCAAAAAGTTTAAACAATTTTAAACATGGTGTGTGAATGATCTTAAATGCATATTCATATACCAAGAGTAAGTCAGACAATACAAGCTGGCTAACTCGATGAAATTTTAGACGCAATGTCATTCACTAGACATTATCTGCACTTTTTCAATTTGAAAAAGCGACTGTATGCCATAAATTTGTAAGGAGGACTACTTTCTGACGCCATTGTATGAATTCGTGTCTCCATGAATTGAAATGTAATATATCAGTTGGTAAAAACAAGTAATTCAGTTCAAATTTTGGCATGAAATGTTCATGGACTGGTGGAGAAAACCTGACCTCTTAGTTGATCATTCAGATAATAGCAAAAGCAAAACGGAAAAGATTGCTTCTTTTCGCGTGCCTTGATGTCAGTGATAGACCTACACCCTCTCGTATAGTTTTTCATTAGCTTTTGTTTGCATTTCTTGTGACAAACTTCTTTCCATCGCTTAATATAAAGATATTAAACGAAAATCTTATCGCTTTATGCAAAAATACGTAATGGTTGACAACACACCATTAAACAAAACCATTAGATAAGATATTTGAGGTGTGAAATACCAAAGAAAACTATTGCCAACCGTAATTCTTTGCGGGCGAGGTGATCATCGACGCCAATTTCTGCGAAGAAAAACGAATATCGATTTTTTTATCTGAGACACCTCAGTATTAGTAAACTACGGTTGCTCTCAAGGGCCATCCACCTACAAAAATTTTCATGACTTTATCGCGCGATAAGTTTTGCTAAGTCCATTCATTCAAAAAATTTGCAATCAACATCATCGTGCGATAGATAAACTCATCGCGCGATAGAACAACTTATCGCGCGATAGAACTACTTATCGCGCGATAGAACAACTCATTGCGCGATAGAGTGTTCTATCGCGCGATAGAACAACTTATCGCGCGATAGAACAACTTATCGCGCGATAGAACAACTTATCGCGCGTTACAACAACTTATCGCGCGATACAACAACTTATCGCGCGATAGAACAACTTATCGCGCGATAGAACAACTTATCGCGCGATAGAACAACTTATCGCGCGATAGAACAACTTATCGCGCGATAGAACAACTTATCGCGCGATACAACAACTTATCGCGCGATACAACAACTTATCGCGCGATACAACAACTTACCGCGCGATAGAACAACTTATCGCGCGATAGAACAACTTATCGCGCGATAGAACAACTTATCGCGCGATACAACAACTTATCGCGCGATAGAACTTATCGCGCGATAGAACAACTTATCGCGCGATAGAAGTACTTATCGCGCGATAGAACAACTTATCGCGCGATAGAGTGTTCTATCGCGCAAAAGAACAACTTATCGCGCGATAGATCAACTTATCCCGCGATAGATAATATTATCGCGCGATAATTTTATTACTAGCTCCCATAGCCCCACAACCATTAGCACGTGGTCAGATCTATAGCAAGATGGCGGACCAAAAGGTGAGTAATTGTCCACGAAATAAAGACTTTTATTCTAGATTTTTGAGCAAGAGATGGCAATCTTTGGATGAAATTAAAATATATTTCTATGCTATCTTAGTA